CGAAGAAAAAACCTCAAGCCTTGGCGGAGCAAACATGAACAGTTCTTGCAAAGCACATAGAATAATCCCCAACCAATCATAGACGACCTTACGACATGCTCCAAGGAAATTGGATGTAGATTCCCGCTCAGGGATCCAATCAGGTTATTCAGAATCCATGAAGTCCAGAAGCAGGTCTTCTTGTTGAGAGATGTGCTGCGCCGTCGCCTTAAAAAAGATTAGGACGTTGCCAGTCACCTCAAAATGCATGCATATATAAGTATGTAATATAACAATGCAACGTGGCATGTGAGCAGTGAGGCCGGGCACAATAATAATAGTATACACACTTAGTGAGCGGCAGCAGCCGGTACCAGTACCAACCACACGAAGTCATAGGCGAGCCAGTGCACATAGCGAGGACAGAGACCACTGGCTTGTATCCCTCCCATCCTATGCCGTAACACAGCGTGACAGCGCAGACACGATAACACTGAATATCACGAGGCTCGCTCCACTGGTACGAAGGGGAGCACTGCAGTCTGGGTACGGCAATGGCCCCGCCCCCGATTTCTACCTATACGACCTAGTCGAAACCACCTGCATAGTCAGCGGCTAGCAGTTGCAGGTGGAATCATTGGTCGTACTCCCCGACAGGACATGTGAGGCTAAGGACCACATGTCCAAATTGTAGAATCTGGTGACGGTATTCTGCGAAGACCATCCAGTCTTCAAACTGTCTTTGATAAAAACACCCTTAGTCCACGCCCACGAGGAGGCAATTGCCCTCCATTCCATAGGACATTCCATACCCTTGCTAGAATAGGCCAAGGCAATGGCATCTACCACCCAATGTGATAGTTGTTGTTTGGAGACCGGCTGCCTCTTGGTGCCGCCTCCAAAGCACACAAACAGCTGCTCAGATTGCCGAAACTGAGCCGTGCGGTCGACGTAAACTCGCAGAGCCTGCACCGGATATAGCACCTGATGAGGGGCGGCATCCGATGAGGTCGCTGACTCTGGAGTGAAAGCAGAAAGCATCACCACTTGCGCTCTGAATGGTGTCGAGAGTGATTTAGGCACATAGCCCAATCTTGGCTTGAGCGTAACGTTACAATCACCTGGTCCAAACTGCATGCAGTCAGCATTTACAGAGAATGCTTGTAAATCCCCCCACGCACTTGACCGAAGCAAGGGCGAGCAACAGTGCGGTTTTAAGCGATAGCTCTCTCAATCCGGCAGACAGAAGTGGCTCGAAGGGCAGAAGGGCAGAAGAGCCAGCACCCCCAGCACCAGAGCCAGATCCCAGGATGGCACAGTGGGAGGACGAGAGGGTCTTAGCCGTCTCGCACCTCTCAAAATTCTGATCACCAGATCGTGTCTACCCACCGAGCGCCCGTCGATAGTGGCGTGAAATGCTGAGATAGCTGCAACATAAACCTTAGGAGTGGAAGGCATACTGCCGCCATCCAGCTGCTGTTGCTAAAAATCCAGAATGTCAGACACAAGACAGCTCTCCGGGTCACGACCATTCGATTCACACCATTTAACAAACACTGCCCATTTAAGAGCATGCAGGCGACTAGTAGAAGGGGCTCGCGCCTCTGTAATCGTGTCCATCACGCGGCGAGACAATGAGTCAGAGTTTACCAGTTCCCGCACACCATCCACACATGAAGTTTTCACCGTTGGGGTGCCATATCGAGCCGCCCGCCTGAGATAGTAGGTCCCGTCTCAGCGGGATCAGCCACGGGGGAGCCATTAATATCTCCAGCAGATCGGGAAACCATAGCCTGTTCGGCCAGTACGGAGCGATTAATAACACCGATGCTCTCTCCTCTCTGATTTTGTGCAGCACCTGTGACCTGTGGGCCTTCAGCCACGGCATCGTGAGTGCTCCCCGCCCAGGGGTGAGCGTGACAGAGAGAAGAACAGAGGACAATTCAGTCCTCTCCGTGAGGAATCCCGTCCTTCGATAGCATATCCGTGCCGCTGTTCAGGCAGCCCGGGACATGCGCTGCCCAAATGGAGAGCAGATGACGATCGGCCCACAGTAAAAGGCATGCTGCCTGTTCGTAAAGGGCTCTCGAGTGTACTGGCGGTTTATGTTTGACATCACCGAATCAACACGTGATGCTCCCGGACTTGTGTGATGAAACTCAGAAGAGCCAAAAAGACCGCTCTCAGTTCGAGGCGATTTATGTGCCACTTTTTCTCCGACTCCGTCCAGTAGCCCAATGCCGGTACGCCATCGCAATAAGCCCCCCGTTGACGCGTCTGTCGTGACCACCTTCTGCTGCATGATGTGTGGTACAGGTCAGGGTTTCGCCATGGTTTCAGCGCATTCAAGCACCCGCGAGTGACCACAACACAGGCACGGCCAGTTTTCCAAGCCCTTCTCGGTACCTGTGTTTTCAGCCATATCTGGAGGGGGCGCATATAGAGCAGGCCGAGGTGGCACACAGACACGGCCGCTGCCATCTGTCCCAAGAGCCTCTGATATTCTTTCAGTGCCACGGGACGTCCCAGACTGAAAGTATTCAGAGCGGACATTAAATCTCGTATGCGCTCCTGACCCAGACGTGCTCTCATCGAGACTGAGTTCAATTGCACCCCCAGATATGTGATTGACTGGTTGGGGCATAACACGCTCTTTTGTATGTTCACGCAGAGACCTAAACTCTCCAGATGAACTTAACAGAGCGCTTTAGTGGCTGTTGCGCACATCCTCCGAATGGGCCAAAACCAGTCAATCATCCAAATAATTCAAGATGCGTATTCCGCTCGCTCTCAGAGGGGAAAGCGCTGCATCCACACATTTCGTAAACGTGCGCGGCGCCAGCCCGAACGGCATCACCGTGAACTGATATGCTTTGCCTTCGAATGCAAATCTCAGAAAGCGCCTGTGTCGAGGGGTGATCTGGATATGAAAATATGCGTCCATCAGGTCCACTGAAATAAACCAATCATCGGGCCGAATCTGCACGAGGATCTGTTTCAGCATTGTCATTTTGAAAGCGTGTTTGTATAATGCACGGTTGATGGGTCACAGGTCTAGGATCGGACAGAGACCGCCAACTTTCTTTGGAATGACAAAGTAGCGGCTGTAGAACCCGCTCTCTCGTTTGGCAGGATGACTTCTATCTCGCGTTTTGCGAGGAGGTTGAGAATCTCTTACCTCAGCACCGACTTGTTGCATGCCGGTACTGTCGACATGACCACGCCCTTGATGTTTTGGTGGTCTGCGCCAAAACTGAAGCGTGTAGCCGTTCTCTATAACGTTCCGCACCCAATCCGAAATGCCCTGGGATGGACCGCCATGCGTTCGCAAAATGGCACAACGGGCGGAGCACCTCACCCTCTGTATTCTGAGCAACACCGCTGTATGCCGGGGATGCGTTCAGAAAACACACGGGACAAATGGGAGCGCTGTATGGTAGCTTAGGTCGTGCATTGCCTATTAACGGGAAGCGCGAGCCCTCCCCTGAATGTCTGAGTGACACAGACGTGTGTATATGCGAAGTGTCGAGAGCGAGCCGCGGCGGCGGAGGTCCGATACTTAATACATGGGCGTGAGCATCGCCGGTTACCCAGAGGAGCTGCGAGCCCGACTTTATTACCAGCTCCCTGGCCGAGCGCCGAGTGTGAGAAACTGCTATCACTAGAGGAGAAGAAAAATAATCTTTTTGTGAGGGTGTAACAGATTTTATTGCATTCTGAACAGTCACAACATAAACATTCTCGCAGCCGACTGCAACCGCCAAGGGGACTTCGTGAGAACGTTTCAGACGCTTCACGGCAGGCCCGCCGCTCGGTGAACTCCTCCTCCTTACTCTCCCGTCAGGAACGAGGCTTTTGCGCCAACAAAGGAGCGCCCCTGGGGCGGTTTCTTGAAGCCGTGTTGCGCCTTCGGTGCCCTCTTCCACAGAGTTTTGGTGTGAGCAGCAGGCTCCGGATCCGGCGCCGATAAAGCAGAAGCCCACTTCGATGGCCGGTTGGAAGCGGACGATGATCTACTCCGTGCTGGGGGAGTAGCAGCCCGGCACGGCAGGAAGTGACTCATTGCTTTGGAGCATTTCTGTGCTTTAGAGAAACGCTCCGCGCTAGCCTCCACAGTGTCTCCAAAAAGACCGGAGGGAGATAAAGAAGCGCTGAGTAGCGCCTTCCTGTCCGCATCTTTCAGCTCCGTGAGCGTCAGCCACAGATGACGGTGGAGCACCACCATGTAGCCCATGCTTAGCCTAATCGCCTGGGCTGTCTTCTTCGTGGCCTTTTTTGTGCGAAATCCGTCGCCACGCGAAGATCCTTAAAGGCCTCGGGATCCGCTCCACCCTCATCCAGGGATTTCAGGAGCTGTGCCTGAAAAACTTGGAGCACCGCCATTGTGTGAAAATCCACGCAGCGAAATTCAGAATGACAGCTAACTATTAGCTCACTTCAGAGGCTCCTAGAGAGAGAGAGAAACTGTCCTTGGTACTGAAGCTGTGAACCCCCTTTCAACGACAGCATTCACTGTGGGCTGTGGCAGCCATCATTAATTCTCTCTTCAGTGTACTGTGCGTATATTTTTCTATAACATACTTTATACTTATTTTAATTACAAAATATAAGTAATAAAATTAAATAATCAAATTCTCCCTGTATTGACAGTAAACTATTTAACGTTTATTTGTTGTATTTATTAGTCTGGCTGCTCGACAAGGTGTTGTTTGTCTTCAAGGACCCGTTATATGTTTTGTACTATGGCTTCAAGAGACACACTGTTTCAGACATCGCACAGAACGTCAATAATCCAACTTCTCCACCATTTGCGTTCATTGACAAAATCATGCAGCAAATAAAATCCATGGAAAAAAGTTTCTGATACAGTGAGAATTTAAACAAGAAAATGTGGATAACAATGATGTTTAGTGGTATCTGAACGAGTCTTATGAAATGTTACAGCACTAAATCTGCACACGAACTCCAATATTAACCAATGCTATAATACACAACGCACACAACAGAGTAGTTCCACATACCTGCGCTGAGACGTGCCTTTGTCGCGCGCGTTCTTCAGTTCTTCTCACGCAAATGTTCAACAGCCTTTATCTAATTGCAGAGAGGTTTGCTGAAGTCGAACCTCTAAAACCCTTCACACATGTTTAGGGTGAGAAGCGTCTCACATCATGTTGGGCTTAATGTTTGTGATGCTCTAACATCTCTCTCCCTCTCTCTGCACGTCACTGACGGGTCACGGACCGACAACGACACAACGACTGTTTGTATGCGTAGCCTAGTGTCATTGCTCTTGTTTTATTGGTTTTAGATAGATGATTGTTTGCTGTGTCACTACTGTTATGGATGTTGTATTTGGGGTAATGTGTTATCGTTGCAGAGGCTGACTAAAGCCATAAAGTTTGGAACGCTTCGCGGCATTCTGGCCAAGTTCCATTTTACGGGGTTGTCAGACCGACATATAAAACAACAAATTTAACCGACATAAATTTTTTTATGAGCTGGATGTTTAAGGTCGGGTAAATCTGAAACCTTCAGTTTATACTTTAGACAGGAATGAAAACGAGTCTGCAAGGGATTGAACTACAATGCGTTTAGTGGATTGTACTGTTGTTAACAACATGACAACTGTTCTGTTTTAAAGTTGCGGAAATTACGGAATCTAGGACCTTTATAGGCAGTGCATGCCATTGTAAAGAATGTATCCCTCACAGCCTCGTTTTCTTTCGCGTAAATGGATGAATGCAACACGGACGTAAATGGTCCATGGATGCACCACTTGGGACTTTATTATGGATGTTGAGGTTTAGATGGTCTGTGCGGAGATGAGTGTCCTGCTTTACTAGGAATAACTGGATTACCGAGAAGTAAAAGACCCCAAACATAGATGCTTCTGACAGCGGATAAGCAGACACACATACAAAACTTGTTTGCAGTTTTAATTTTAATCCATAGCAGTGTGGAATTTTGACTGAGTGTTAACAGTAGGCCTACATTAAACTATTCTTCTGTGATGTCTCAAGGGAAAAACTCCCGTTGGAAATGTTCTGGTAAGATGACTGACAATGTCCTGAGCTTCTGGATAAAATATTCAGAATGACCATTTTATGCTTCTTTTGACTCTCTTAGCATTAAAATTTTATCTGCACCCTGCTCTGGTGCATGAGACACCATAACAGATCACCACAGTCAGTGTCAACTTAATCTTCAAGAAGGGACATCTACAGACCGAGTTTAATTTTCCCTTCTTTATTTGCAATATCATACATTAGGTATAAATGGCAACAAGGATTGCATGGAAAAAGCATATAATCTGTTAAGACAACAAAGGCAGGGCTAACATACACTGCTACAAAATACAACATATTACTTGGTTTATTTATACGTTATGGATCAATATTAGTATGTAAGAACAGAGATAGTGCTTTGGGTTTAATTCAGGACCTTGCTATTTGAGAGACAGAAAGAGAGCAAAGTAAGGCATTCTGTTGATTTTGTCCTCTAAATGAAAAACTCAACAGATGAAAATAAAACAGGTGGACTGAGTCACACAAAGCAAAAGGACAACAGAGTGATGTACTAACTAATCTACACATTAAGAACACAAAGTAATGAAAAAATATTATGATAAAACGAGGAGCAAAGTTCTTGCTCTTCTCTTCAACAAACACAAAACTTAATAGTACCGGAACAAACATGAATGGCTGACTAATTGGGAAAAGGTAATTCCACCTTGTTTTTGTAATTTGGGTGTCAAAAATAATAAAGAATTAATTAAAATTGATTGCAATAGATAGACTTTGAATATACTACAGAAGCAGAAACGGCACATTTTAAAGATTAGTTCACCCCATTCTGTCATTCACTCACTCTTATATCTTTCCAAACCTGTATGACTTTCTTTCTTCTGAGGAAGAATATATCCTGATAAATATCTCAATAATATATATATATATATATATATATATATTATTTTGATAAAATGGTAACCAAAACTGTCTGGCTACTAACAATCTTCAAAATATCTTGTTTTCTACATTAAAAAAAACAAAAAAAATGTCATGCATATTTTGAACGTCATGAGAGTGAGTAAATGATGACAGAATTTCCATTTTTGGGTGAACTTTTCCTTCAAGGGAAAGCTAAACAACTTAAGGAAAGAAACAAGCAATAATATTAGCAGTTCATTCATACATTTGTTCATGTATTCAATCATTAATTCAGCAGCACAGGAATATAAATAATTGGGTAAGGCAGATGGATCATCATACAGCAGAGGAAACTCAAAGCATTCCATGTTAAACCTTTTTTTTTTTTTTTTTTAAATGGCTATGCAACTTTCTTTATAACAACCAAGGTAGTGCACATGATTGAATGGCAGATACACAGAGCAAAAGATGCTCTACTGCGATCTCAAGAGCAGTAACAGCATTCAGTTAACAGTATGGCTACATGAGACTAGTGCACAAAATACTGGATTCAATACTGGCAAACATCGGTGTGGCTGCGCAGTTAGTGCAACGCTGGTCCTGCTGGGTTCAGCATGGCACTGACACAAAGCAGGTTTTTGGAAAGACCCAAGAAAAGAAAGATGGGAGTTTGCATTAAATTTCAACAAAGGTGTTTTTAGCACTGAAGGGATTTTACGGCAGAATCACCATCAATAAATCATAGAAAAAAAGAGAAGACAGAAGTGAGCTAATCTAAACTACAGGCATGGTGCCACATTTCCATATATTTGCAGTTTAAAAACATTAAACTGGCAAGTATGTTAGTGCTAGAAGAAAAATGACACCTGTGATCTAAAATCTAACCAATTAAAATCTAACCAAGCCGATTATCTCGTGTGATTTTTATCTAATTCTGAAATTTACTACATACTTTGCATTACTTCTAACAGCAGAAAAAGATGGGAAGAACATACAGAATCACAAACTACAATATCAAGACATTAAAATAATTGAAATTCAGAGTTATTAAATAAGTGAAAGGATATTTCAAATGCATCTGCCTTGTTCATACTCCATGCTGTAATAAGCGTATAATCTCAATTTTATATTCCATTGATAACAAAACATTCTTCATAAATACACACATATAGTCAAGTGGATTTTCATACCAAAACATGCAAGCAAATGCAAGTTTTCAGACCATAGTAGGATGACAGCAGCCAATCAGCTCACATTTTAAAACCATGGAATCTGTTTAGGTCACACATAACAGCCAAAAGCAAAGGTGTTTTGACAAAGTACAGTTGGAAAATCGAATGGCGAAAGCACATTTGTAAACTATTTCATTATGCAAACTACAAGGTCATTTCCATGTCATGTTACAGTGTTTACAACAGTACACACCAATGATAACAACAATTACACAAATATCTACCTGAATTATAGCATTATATTAGCTGACTGTGTAATGATGTGGTTAATACAAAATTAATAATCATAAAATTGGACTATGAAAGTTACTAAAACATTTAAACCAGCTAATAATTCAACCTCAGTTTTATGGTAAAGGGAGAGTTCCCCCAATGAAAATTCTGTCATCATTTACTCACCATTTACTCATGCTGGTAACCAAACAGTAGCTGGTAGCCACTGACCTCCATAGTATGGGAAAAAATACAGTGGAAGTCAATGGCTACCAACTGTTTGCTAGCTAACATTCTTCAACATACCTTCTTTTGTGTTCAACAGAAGAAAGAAACTCATACAGGTTCAGAACAACTTGAAGGGGAGTAAAAAATGATAGAATTTCCATTTTTGGGTGAACTACCCCTTTAACAATTAATGCAAACTCACTTTCATTCTTTTCCCTCAGTTGTAAATTTGCCTTAATGTCACAGAAATTTCACCATTGGCATTAAAAGGTTCTTATACTGTTTAAATAGCATGTATTATTAAGTATAACCAAAATGTTGAAGCAGCAAGAGGAGAAAATGGCATAACGGTGTTACATTTTACAATCAATTATGATAAATCCAAACATGATGTAAAGGTAATCCGGCAGGTATAGCAGAGATTAACATTTATTATTCAGTATTTACTTATATGCAGACAATGAGTTTAAGAACAACATAATTAGAGCTTTGAACACTTAAATATTTCTCCCTCTCATAATATCCCTCATTACCGAAACAAAACAGATACACACACACACACACAAAATATTCTCATGTTCCCAGGATATTTTCTACTATGGCAAAAAAGAGGATATTCTAAAAACACTTGGTGAATTAAAGGGATAATGAGGTAATACCTTTATTATTCTGTCATTTGGGTAATATATGGTTAAAAGTGTGTATCTGTTTACTGTGAAATAAAACCATTTTATATGCAACAACATAAAAAAAAAACACTATCTTGAAACATGAAACATATCATAACATCTCACGAATCCACAGCTCTGTCATCTTGTGAATTGCAGAAACTCTTGGCACGCTTTTTTACTATAGAACAAACAGAAAATGCAAACAAGTTGTTAAACTGGTGTGCCAAGTTGTCATGTCATACCTGAAATATGTACAAATATTAAGACTGAGAGATGTTTAGTATTTTATTTAAAACATTTAACGACACTTACAATGAGAAAACACTGGAGACTCCAAAAAGTGAGTACTGAAACACACCAGAAGTAATTCTGTAAATAGATAAATTGGTATAGTGCTAAGGGGAAGACAGAAACCCCATTGGCTTTGGTGATTACCTTTAGAAATCCTGAATGGGAAGACTGTCTTAGGAAGCACACAACTCTGTATTTGTTATGGGGCTTTGGGTAGATGTGGTGAAATCATGCTGTGTCAGCCACCAGCGGCTTGAGATAAGATGGTCTCCTAGACTTTTAAAAACTGGTCTGCACTAAGTCAGACGATCAGTTTGTAATGTAAACAGCCCTTCCTAACCAGAGTTTAAGTGTTACTCAGTTTTTTTTTTTTTTAAATCTCTCAATCTATTTTCAATAATTAAGGTAAACTCTTCGACTGGCCTACATTGAAATGATGTGAAAAATGTGTAAAATAACTGCAAGATTTTTAAACAAAAAAGACATGACAATTAGAGATAACTGTGGTTTTGGTTTAACATTTGTTAGATAAACGGGTAAAGGCAAGGGCAGAGTTTTGGGTAGTAGGTAGATTAACATTCATTCCCTCTTTTTCCCATTTTATTCACTGTTGATGACGGAAGGATGGACGAATTGAGGGTTGATGAAGGAAAATCCATCGAATTCGGCCTGGTCGATGTTGGCGATAACCAGCTCATCAGGAGGGGTCAGCTGTGGCTGTGTGCGTGTAAAGAACTTGTCAAAGTTCTCTGCCCCTTTTCCACACTATAAAACAAAAAAAGAGGTAATTACAGGAAAGAAAAGATTACTTTTGACACAATTTATTGTAATACTACAACCATGTAGTGTTAATCCCTGCATCACATACAGACACAAATGAAAGTCAAAGGTTTGTTAAATATACATTGTAATGCAGACAACAAACATGGTTTAAAGTTACACTCTTTTATCTGCACATGGTTTGAACTCTAAATAAAGCAGATTTTAAATGTTTCATTTGTTTAACATTCTTTGTGAGAAATATGAGATTTTGATGCCTATTTATACTTTAGTTCCCAATTCCCTCATATCCAATGCACAGATTAACACTCCTCAGATTTCAGATTATATGCCCTAGTTCCTCTTCATCTGGATGATAAAGCAATTGGCTCTACTAGTTTGGAGAACACAGATGTGGAAGCCAAACACACTGGCAACCGACAGCAGCTTCTGACATGAGTACTTTGCATTAATGTGTTAAAATAAGTGTAAAACATAAAATGAAATGTGAAACAAAGTATTTATTTGTTAGAATCTTCTGAATGACAAAACAACATGGTAATCACAATAGCCTACTAGCTATTCTCATTTTCTATTCTTCATGACAGGCTCGTTGGTAGTTCTAAACCTCATAAGCATCTTGACAAATTACCTGAACTACTGTAAGTAGAAGGCACATTAATACCTTTCTTTAACCTCCATAACATGTGTATGAAAGAGCACCAGAAGCACATTTATAATAACCCTATTATTATGACGAATAAATGATTCAAAGCTCCTTATCAATGATATATACATGTGTGGGTTATACGGTGTGCAGGATTCAGACCCTTCTTGTTAGGGCTTTCATTAAATTGTTTTAATACAAAAACACCATTTCCTGTAATGATTTAACTCAGTGTTTAAAAGAAGGCTGTCAATTTATACGTGTTAACCAAGTTAACACATTTAATTATGGCCTTGTACGTAAAGGAATTTTCCTTCCATCGAAGCAATTTAAGAACAGCGAAAAGTGACACAGCCACCATTTCATGCATGTGCACATAGAACAACAACTAAAAAATAGAGTAGACTGATCTAATTTCAATTAAACTTATCAATTAATTGGCATATCATGTAATTAAGTAATATATTTAATCACCTGACTTCCCAAATTTAACGCACATAAACAAAAACAGTTACAAGAAAGCAAGCAAGAAAGAATATGGTGTTTCCTTTTGTAAAGCTGCCAGATTCCATAAGACATGCAGCTCAAGATGTGCCTTAAAATAGAAGATTTCCCTCCCCCCTTCTCATTGTATGATATTTGAAAGGAGAGATGAATGGTGACTCAAGCACTGAGAGAGATGGTCAAAAGTAAATGCCTGTGTCATGCTCTCTTATGAGGCAGATTTTCCCATCATATGTGAATGATGAGAAACTGAGAGGGAACAGTTGTGTTCTAACAAGCATGCAGTTCAATTAAAGTTGCAACTGTCATCATCACACACATTTTTCAGACACAGAGGTCCATGTAGGGCACTTCCTACGTCAGCAGTGGAACTAATCATTGGCTAAATGTTTAAAATGGTAGCTGTGCTGAATTAAGCCTGTTTAGCCCCCACCATTAGTGTGAAAGGGACACAGGGTCTTTATCTGGCCTAGATTTGACCATGAGAGGAAGCTGCAGTTCAGCTTCAGGATGTCCTCAGGGGACATCACACAATTGTTGAAACAAACAAACAAACAAACAAAAATATTAAAACTGACAGGTGATGCTCATAACACACTCCCACTAAAAAAATAGGACATCATAAGAAACACACAAATACTCAAGACAAACTAACCCCTCTCTTCTTCTCTGTTTTGTCCCCAGAGATGTGACAGAATGCCCTATTCAATGATATATGTGTGGGAGAGCATGTGTGCTTGTGAAGGGGAAACAACTACAGTATGACCCACTTTAGAAGTCATATATATGTATGCAGACTGCTTTTGCAGCTCATCCCTCTCTCGCTCTCTCTCCCACTCATACAACACACACACACACACACACACACACACACACACACACACACACACACAACCATACCAAGGACAATCTAAGCTATTTAATATGACAAATGGCTCTATCTCTATCCTTTTAGTATCTTGGCAAACTATTCTCACTTCCTCCACAGGCGCCGTCTCAGAAAAGCAATACCAATTCATAACACGTTTCACCAAAAAACAGTGAAAACTAGAATTATTAGAACAGATATCAGAAGGCACAGAAATTATACTTAGCAATAACAAGCATTCATCAGGACATGCAGATGATTACACATTAGTGTCAGAGAGGTCTTAATTTGTGCTGGCAGTGTATTGTTTTGTGATTTTTACATAAAAATGGTTAATCGGTTAACTTTATATACTTAAAGTTACTTTACCATATACAGTGATATTACTGTAATTTTACTGTAAAAATACCGTCATGATTGTTATGTGATTGTTACTTTTATCATTTTGGAAGTAAAGTCTATGAGTTACTATTTTATTGACAGGGCACATATTGTATTGCCGATATTATCATTATCAGTACATTCTTAAATAAAAATGGTTTTGGTAGTTCAAGTAGACTGCTATATTAACATCATATCACTTTATATCATGATATCACAGATATAAGTAAAATATACAGGCGCTAATTAATATTCCATCCTATAATAACTGAAGCACTCATCATTTTTTTAAAAGTGAATTTCTGGCAAAAATAAATACAATAATATTTACTCTCTTGTATCTTAGTATCTTAATCTGAATCACCATAAATACTTTAATACATGCCTTTTCAGGGCCACTTCCCCATAAAAACTTTAAGTCGAAGAGCATTCTTAGCTTTTTCATCAGTATAAGATAAATACACACAAATAGACCGGCATGGATTTTCTTACCACTTTGGGTTTGAATGGAGGCTGTATTTCTCTATTTTCCAGACGTTCCCAGTCAATCCGACGGAAGAAAGCATGTTCCCGAATATCTCTCTCCCCCTCTAGGCTGCAGCCCAGACGCTTTGAAGGGTGTTTTGTCATCAGCTGAGACACAAGATAAAATCATTATCATCATCATCTAAACAGGAAAAAGCTTAATGTGACAATCATAAAAAACTGGCATATAATATATTCAGTTTTAAGTTTACATGCATATGCTCATCTTTAATTTTCATGATAACACAATTTCAAATAGGGCTAGACAAATTGCATGGACATGAGCATTTTGTCAACAATTATTCTAGGTTTAATTGCATATGGATGTCTATTATGAAAGTGTAAATGTTCATAGGTTCTTTATGGTTTCTTAATGTGAAGTCATAAAAAAGATAACCCCAACAGCTAACCACCTTCAAGACATCCTCAAATTAATATGTTCATTCTCCATGGTCATAGTAGATCTGTACTGCAGATAAAGGCCAGAAGGGACAACAGTTACACACTCATCAGGAAATCTCAGACTGTAAACTGAAAGCATAAATCTCTGCAGTCATAATAGGGAAAAAGCGTGGAGTTCTTTTACTCTCTGAACAGAAATTCCAGACAATGGCAGATGTATGTTGAAAACTGTATAAAAGTGTTACTGAAAATCCTGTCCATGTGTGATATTCTTAAAAAAGAAAAATGTAAATATTTTTCACAAATTGTGCAGTCCACTGTTTTCATCACATCAAAAGGTGGTATCTGTTTGTCTGTAAGTACACTTGAGACAGTATTGTGAATGGTGGTAGAGGTGGCTTAAAACTAAAATGTAAACTCAAATAGTAAAGCTTTAAATGTTTATATAATACATGCTCTTTCTTCCAATATGCTATATTAATAAGATATTTTGTCCCTCATACAAACCCCCAAAAATCTAGAGAAACCAATTTGTTGCTATTTTAGACAGATCTGTACTCCATCCAGATTGAATATTTGATCACACTTTAGTTTTGGGACCAATTCTCACTTTTAACTAACTAATAACTATGACTTTTGCATCAATAAACTCCTAATTTGCTGCTTATTAATAGTTAAGGTAGTTGTTAAGTTTGTTTAAGTGGCCACACATTATTTTAAGGTCCAATTCTCACTATTAACTATTAACTGTAACTTTGCCTCAATAAACTCCTAATTAGTGCTTATTAATAGTAAGGTAGTTGTTAAGTTTAGGTATTGGGTACGATTAAGGGATCTAAATATTGGGTACAATTAAGGGATCTAAAATATGGTCATTGAGAATATGTGCATTATAAGTACTAATAAACAGCCAATATGCTAGTAATATGCATGCTAATAAGCAACTAGTAAATAGTGCGAATTGGTCCCTAAACTAAAGTGTTACCATTTAAGTTTAAGTATGGGGTAGGATTAAGGAATCTAAAATATGGCCATGCAGAATATGGCATTAATATGTGCTTTATAAGCACTAACAAAAAGCCAATATGCTATTAATATCCATGCTAATAAGCAACTAGTTAATTGTGAGAATTGGTCCTTAAATTAAACTGTTACCGAATATTTCACAGATGCAAAGAACTTTACAAACTTTGGCAATTCCAACAGCTATTCAGTTCTAAGTAGCACTCATTTTAACAGCCTGCTAACTAAAGAGAAAAGTTTTCTTTTCTTATTTTTAATGATTAAATGCTGACTTAAATTTGCCAGGAAAATTGATTTCAGATAAATTTCTAATTCATTATCCCTCTATAGTCCCAGGCTTTTCTGGGTCAGCTTCTGACAGCCACTATGTATTCATTAGTAGGTGGCACAGTTTATAAGACACACACACAAATTTCAAAACACATAGAAATGAAAACAGATGAACTTACACCTCTACTACTGACAGAAAGACAGAAGGTGATAGAGAACATTGAAAAGTGAGACAGTGTGTGATGACATCAGCTTGCGTCCTGCTTGCACCATTATCTCTTTCTCAACCTAACAGGATGTTCTTACAATAAAAGCAGCAAAAAGTATTATGGTATTACTGTGGTATTCCTCAAAGTAGCTTGAAGTATACTGAAAAAATGCTATATGTGAAAAAAAAAAAAAGAATTTATTTCTCACAATGATTACAATACCTTCAAAAATGTTTCCCCCTGTCATTTTCCCCAGTTTTTGATTCAGAACAAGATACTTTATTTTTAGTTTTTTGAACAAGAACAGTGAACCTTACGTGCCAATGCAAAAATAGAGAACAATATATAAATTCAGGCTCTACCAACTTGCACTTAAACTCAGAAGTTCTGGTAATTTAAGAGTGGTTTGGCTGAGAGAATGTAATGTGAGTGTTCAGATGTCATATAAATGCTTTATTTCTGCTAAATGGTGTGTTGGTTTGTACTGCTTAAAAGAACAAGGGATTTATTATTGAATATATTTTTATATTATTTAGAAAATGTTGGAAATTGAATTTGTCTGTAATGAATGAAATATTACGCAACAGTGTAAGGAGCACTCAATGCCAGACACAATTTGAAATTTGTTCATATTGTAACCTTTCCAAACAGTATGCAGAATGTGCTACATTATAAAATGCATCTGTTATTTCTATACATAAATAACATAGTCCATGAATTTAGAACTATGGTTGTGCCATCTGATACCATCACTTTACCATGGCACTGCCACAGTATTTTGCTTGTCAGGGATGTAGCTTACAGGTATCTCATTGAAAACAAAATGTTGAGATGTTCTGGAAATTATATTAAAGAGAAAGTAAGAAATCTAGTCATGTCTTCGTTCATGTTAGTTAATGAAAATGATGAAAATAACATATATTTCTGATTTACCACAGTGGTCAAGTAAAAAAGGAATGGTCTTTCACTCTCACTCTAAAAGTCTGGCAAGACAAAATAGTTTAAGTTTTGGTCTTTAGTCAGACTGAAGTTGAATCTAATAGCAACACACTGCATTCACAGAAAACGCAACCTGGACACTGATAAGACTTTGATTAAAAATGAAACCGGGGTTTGTGTGCTTTTATCTAAATTGGATCAGCTCCTGCAGTGAATTTCTGATGGGCAGTGAATTTCTGAGCAGATTCATGTAATATGAGGGATTAACAGAAGTGATAACAATACAAAATACATTTTTTTGTTATATACATTTGAGTAACTCTCAATCAATGTAATTTAAGATACACTAATATCAAATGTCAGTGCATTTCTGTCATTATCTTGGATTCATGGGAACCTAATTACCTGGTTTTTGGTCTTTTTCTCCTCATTTGTCAGGTATTAAATGAGCTCCTAAACTTTTGCTTTCTGGTTTCAGAAAACATACATCCATTGTTCTGGAGAACGCAAAGTTTGTAACTATTAAGTCAAGAAGTCTTCAACTATTTTCAGAGGCAAATATTAAAATAGAAGAATAATGCACTGGTGAATTTTGGTTCCTTGTTATCAACCAACTAGAGAGCAATAATGCCCCTGGTTCTCCTGGTACTGGTTCAGTTGGGCTCTACAACCTGGAACACTGTGTTTTTTATGTGACAGAACTTACCCCTTTGCAGATGGAAACTGCTTCTTTGGACATGGATTTAGGGTAGGAGACGTTGTGCTCCATAATGCACTGGAAAAGTTCATCTTCATCCTCACCATCAAATGGAGGCTGAGAAGAGAAAAAAAGAACATTCCAAATGAAATTAAAATGAATATTATTAAGCATTTATCCTTATATGTGGGTTGTTATACTCTTGCACAATGTGGCATTAAAGAATTTACCTTAAGCACACTCTTACAAAAAGTACAATTGTGGTAGCATAAAATATACCATGAGAAAAACAAGTACAAAAGATCATTATGTTTGGACAAAGTGATTATACTTTGGTATTGTTTAAAGGACCTTATAGCACCATTTAAATACTATGAAAGTGTATCTTAGTATATAATGAAGTACCATGATATTTCCATCTTGATTCATCACTGACAACTGGTACTATATGTTTGATTTCAATTTATGAAAAACAGGTTGTGGATGTGAAGAGAAGATGTATATTTTACCCAGAGATCATCTGTGGGTACAGCAGCTGCTGTCAATATTATGTGGATCATTTCTGTTAAATTACGTTTAAAAGTATACAAACACACATGACCACTACAAAATGTATTACAACAAAGCTACACCTGTATTATAATATTGGCAGAAGGTAACAGTCGCCAATGTAAGACTTGATGGTTATACACATCTGTACTCACCTGTCCCGCCAGCATCTCGTACAGCAGGACTCCATAGGCCCACCAGTCCACAGAACCGCCATACGGCTGATATGCTATTATCTGAAAAGAGACAGCACAAAAAACCCTACCGATTACTATTAAAGATCAGCATACTAGCAACAAAGATATCCCTACTGTTCCAGAATACAGTTTTTCCCATAATCCCCTTCCCATCTGGAAGCACACATCTCCACTACAAATAAATTATAAAAATATACTGTATTATATTGTTTTGTGTTCCAGTCAAAATATTTAAACACCCAATAAACAAAACTGATTCACAAATCTGTGTAAGGTAAGACATATTCTTGCTAGATAATATTGGTATTTGTTAAATTATATGACCTTGGTACAGTATATCACCATACTGTGTACTTACTTTTTCACAGCACTGAACTTAGTAATTCTTTAACATGAAAGGGACCCAGATGTAAAACAAAACCTAAAATGTTCTTTTATTTAATAAACCAAGCAAGACTGCAACTGAAGTTCGGTGTGTGGGGTGTAAGAAAGCATGAGTGTGTGCCTTTAAAATATCAATAATGAAAACACACACACCTTTTTTTGTGCCGTATATTCCAAAATTTCACACTGCTAATACAGCATGCAGTCAGCTTTCTTGGCTGATGCAGTTCACAGCACATTCAGAGCGTGTGTGTTTGTATGTGACATCACGCTAACACTGTGACAGTTCTAGATCATGGCTGTAGCCGCTCAAGGTTTTGTTCGTGGCTCTAGATGTCATATTTCAAAATACTGAGGACCACACACACACACACACACACTAAATAAATCGTATCCCTAATCGTAACTACAGTACACATCCTATATACACACAGGCTAACTGAGGTGTGCAGCGCAAATGTCAAATTCAGACTAAACAATTACTGAGGAGAAAACAAATAAACATCCACTGATATCATCTCTCAATTTAATTATTAACCAAACTGATTAAGCAAGTGACAGAATAATGGATAGAAAAATATTTTCACACAGGTAATTTCTATAACACTTCATAAGTGCACATGTTCTAATAACATCGTCTAATCACATCTAATCCCAGTGAGTGATAAAAGTAAACAGATTTAACTGATAATAAAAAGGCTCAGGTCAGAGACTGGATTTAAACTCCTTACATTTATTCCTCTTGAATTTATAGAGATCATATTATACTAACAATATTTTGACAATGCAAGAAACAGACCAAATTATAATTAGCTTTATTTTATGAAATTTTATGAGGTCCTCACTATGAAAACAAATGTGTTACAAAAATACAGTTAGCCATGTGTGTTACTGCTGCTCTACCTTTGACACACTTTACACTCAAGTTAACATGCAGCAACGTGTTCCCAGATAACACGCATTACCCCTGCATAATATGTAGGTCAGCAAAAGAGACAGAAAGAGAGAGAGTAATGCTCTCAAAAAAGGGTGGAGGACAAATGTCCACTAATATACACACAAATACACATACTTTCTTTTAATTTTGCAGCTTCAGAAAGCAAAACTGTGCGTTGTCACAGATTCTAATCATAGAGCTGGTAAGAATATTATGAGGATGACAAGGACATTTTGTATATTTGTATAGTTGTATTTTATACTTAATCTGTATATCTGTATTTATGTTCTACTGTTAGTGTTATCTGTATGCACCAAGGGTCTGAGAGTAACGCAATTTCAATTCTCTGTGTGTATGTGCTGTACATGTGGAAGAATTGACAATAAAGCAGACTTGACTTGACTTGACTTGACTTGACATTAATATACAAACTTTGACAGCCACTGCTACACTTATTGATTTGGTTTCTCAAAAATTCACCAGCAATCTAGGTCTGGTTATGTGGGAGGGTTTGTTTAGTAAAATATAGATACAAAGGGTCTGCATTTGTGTGTGTGAAGAAGTCTGAAAACCACTGTGGCTGCCTTTATAGCATGACTTTTAAAGAATCGCTGTAGGAGACAACTCTGCCACCCACTGTCATGTCATGCCAGTACAGTTTGAATATTTGGGGAAGAAAAAAACATAGAGAGGGACAGAGAGAGAAAGAGAGAGAATATGTGTGTCTGAGGATGTCAGAGCAGATAAAGGTCATCAATATGAAGTGCTGATGTTCCACAGATAACCTGCATTGTAAGAGCTTATGTGTCACTTGTGGAGGCATCTTCATGCTAAGGCCTGCTCTGGGAAGAAAAGTTAAGAGAAGAGGAGCTTCGGCACAGAGAAATAAGACAGCTTCACACTAGGCTCTGCTCTGAATATGAAAAGATCTGTATGAAGAAAAAAGGGAAGAAGAAAGTACTGAAAAGTGGTGGTTTCCATTACTGCAAAATGTTTAAAATGGTTCTATTAGAGTGCATCATAAATTGCAATGGACCACTTACTGTGATGACGCATTTCCATAGTTATTAATATCACACATGCAGCAAAAATAGTTTTTTATATTTTAATTTTTAAAAAATGTAATGTACATAAAACTAGTTTCTAATACAGCTGTTGAGAGACTGATGGCAAATTTGATGTTTTTCTCTCTTCTGACAATGTAATTATTCTCTCTATATTTTCCCCCTTTTTTTGTAAAGTGATAGAAATGCCATTGTGGATTTAGTCTTTTGCTATTGGAGCACATAGGAACACAAAAATTATATTTGTTGTTGTTTCTGGGTCACTATAGAAGTTTTCCCAACTATTACAACTTCCGCTTGAGAGCACCTCTGAAATGTGAAATGTCTATAGAAAAATATTATCAAATTAGTGGGGCCAAATTCCAGAAGAAATGTCATGGTCAGGAGTTAAGCAGCTGTTTATATATTCTTGAATAACGATTGACAGTATTAAACGAAGTCGCTGCTCCTGAAACTTTATTTTAGAATGACAATTTTAGAATTAGAATTGTTAAAATCTGTAGCATGTAACAGTAGCATTTGAAATAAGGAGGCAAAATATTTACTTAGTGTATATTTTATACAGTTTCAGTCAAAAATCAACCACTTGCTGCAACTCATAGGGAGCCATTTGGAATATGGCTCAAGGAAGGCTAAAGAGATGCTGTCTTCTTTTTAAACTGTTAATATGGCTGTTGGACAGTGTCACTGTGAAAAAAAACAAACACATTTTCATCCTGTGGATTATTTTCTCATCCAAAAATATTTTGAGGAGGTACTATCTCCTCTGAGAAAACATCACATGTTCAGGGTCTTCTAAGCACTGCTGCTAGATTAATTTACATTCAGCATTAGCAGTCAGTCTGGGAGGACTGCTACTGCCCGCAGGAAACACACTCCGTCACTCACCTCTGGAGCAATGTAGTCTGGCGTTCCACAAAATGTACGGGTGGTCACACCCTCCACAATGTTCTCCTTGCACATACCGAAGTCTGCAATCTTAATATGACCCTCTGCATCCAGCATAACATTATCTAATTTCAGATCCCTGAAAGTGATAAAAAAAAATAACACAACAGTACATCACTATAGACAGGGTGATTCTGAAAATTGGAGGATGGGGTTACATAAAAAAAGACGTTTGTCTTCCTGTTTAAATATTTTTATATAAAAATTCATCTAAACAAACTCATCTTGCTCTTTTTTTCCACACATAAGCACAACAAAAATGTAGTTCATTTTATTTCATGTAAAAGCAAGTGCAGTGTTTTTTTTTTTTTTTTTCTGAAACAAGGACTCTGTCTCCAATTTAGTCGCTCAAAAAAAAAAAAGTCAAATAACTAGCTTTAGCTCCTAAAGAGAGACAGAATTAAGTTAATTACTGGTAGAAGGTTGGGCCAAATAGTGTTATTTGAAATGAGTCATGGCAATATTTAGCACATTTTACAAATAGGTTAATATGATATTCTTTAATGAATTAAAGACACAAATGCCCTTTACAGCCGTCTAAGAAAATAAAATAACTTGACATTCAGGTTACATTAGGCAAAATCTGCAACCCTGTTATTTGCAACTCTGTTACTCAGAATGTAATTGTTTGTTTGTTTGTTTATGTATTTATGTTTATTGCTTTAATGTTAATCTGCTGATTAAAGCCAATTACCTTACACTTTGAAACTATTGACAGAAAGGTCTGAATTGGATCTGAATGTGTAGTTTATGTGTGCTCACTGCCACCTGTCCCTTAAAATACGGAATCGCCCCCTATTTAAAGGTAAAATGATGTGTACCGTATCAAATCAATACGGGACGCGATTTTGTCCTGTATTTTACAAAGGCCAACAAGCTGAATCCACAAATAAGTATTTTGCACCGTTTATAATGCTAATAGCAATTATAATGAAATTAATTTCATAAGTTAGAGAAGCTCATCTTGGCGTCTTTGTTTCCATGGCGATGATGGAGTCTCCAGAACGCGCGCCGTTAAAGCCCTTTTCAGTGTTCACAAAACTGCACGTCGAAAGCGTGTGCTCACTTTATAGGGCTTGAGTCTGTCATGTTTTGTCCGCTATATGGGGTATTACGGTAAGGCATTGCTGCCACATACATATAATTTTTTCCTCTCAGGCGTAATGACGAGATGTTATGTCATTTAAACAACATATTTTCATATTTAGATTTTTAATAACGACATATTACAAAAGTTGGTCTGCACTCTTTAAGTCTTTTATTGGAATCAAAGCAGGAGATAAAAAGACAAACGTTTCGGCTATCTGCCTTCGTGACAATTCTTTGCTTCTTAATGATTATATAGGCTAACAAACGACATACAACAGGTGATTATTGTTAATCAATCAATCAATCCACAGACACTTAAACATCAAGAGTTAAATAAAGAGAACAATAGCACATCAGGCAAAAAATGCTGTTTATAAACATTGTACCCAGAAAGAGAGAGATATATTTTTTTTTACAGAAAATATGAAAGGTCAAAATCCTCATTTAAACCTGAAGTTGACATATAGGCGCGTTTCCATTACAGATTTGCGTAAAACTTTGGCGATATTTTATAAATGTCGATAAAAAAGTATTGCGAAATGACGGCGTTTCCATTAGGCGCATTTTCAATTCGCAATTTCAATTTGCGCAATTTGAAGGGTAATGGAAACGCGCCTATTTTGTCTTTAAATAAAACATCCAGATTGCTTCTCTTTGTAAAAGTTTTTTTGTCAATATCTCCACCACGGTGAGATACTTTCACATCTTCAATATACATTTAAGTTGTTCTATTATCGTGGTTACAATCAATAAAATGTCTGGCGATTGGAGAAGTAACATCATGTCTTCGAATAGATGATTTATGTTCACTTACTCTTATTCTTAGTGACCTTGATGTCTTTCCAACATACATCAATGGACAGGAGTACTGAAGTAAATAAATATAATTTTTAGTAGAACGTTATGCGAGATTTAATCTGGTAACACTTTTTTTAGACTCAAGCCCTATAAAGTGAGCACACGCTTTCGACGTGCAGTTTTGAGAACACTAAGGAAAGAGCACGTTCTTTCGCCTGTTTGGACACTTCAAACAGACATTTGCACTGCCTGTTTGGTTTACCTGTTTACACGTTTATAACATGCGTTTTGTCCGACTCAAAACTCACGTATTTGATGCCCATTTGTCAAAAACAACGCGTGTTTCTACAGCAAATCACACATCGAGGACGCGCGTTTTGATACAAAAAAACGCACGTTTCCGACGCGCGTTTTCCATGAACCCAAAGCACACGTTAAGAATGCGCGTTTTTATGGCAAATCACACGTCGAGGACGCACGTTTTGCTGTCAAATCACACACTTTTGACGTGTCAGTGTACAATCAGACGCCCAACCAGGCGTATATGAATACTCTGGCTTACCATAATCGAGGCGCTTACGTCCGCCCATTGAACACATGACTCTCCATATGTAGGGTTGAATGGTAAAGTTATCAATGGGTCTGTTTAGTAACTAATGATGAACGCGCAGTTTGCAGAAAAGCATTTGCTCACGGTGGACTGTCTGACTTAAAGGGATAGTTAACCCACAAATGAAAAATTTGTCATCGTTTACGCTCCCACAAATTGTTCCAAACCGGTAATCATTTCTTTCTTCCGTTGAACATAAAATTTAATATTTTGAAGAATGTGGGTAACCAAACAGTTTCTGGCCCCCAATGACTCTACTATGGAACTAAACAGCTGTTTAGTTACCCACATTCTTCAAAGTATCTTCTTTTGTGTTTAACAGAACAAAGAACTTGCCGGTTTAGAACAACCTGGGTAAATTATGATAGAATTTTCATTTTTGGGTGAACCATACCTTGACAGACACATCTGTGCTTCTAAAGGCATAACCCTATTGTTTTATTAAAATTTGGACAGTCTGTTAGAGCTTGATAGACATAATTATTATATTTTTAGACATTATTAGACAGATGATTTAATAGATTATAATTAATGTTAGACCCTATTTATTAATTTATCATTTATATTAATCATAAATATATACATAATAAATAAGCATATATGTCACATACAATTTGACATTTAAAAAAATTGGAAAAAAATGCTAAATTATTTAGATTTAATGTAGGGGGGAATGCATGTCCCTTATTTTGCCCCGCTGAAGGCGTCAACCCTACCTGTATATGACTCCTTTCTTGTGCAAGAAAAAAAGCCCAACAGCAATCTCTGCAGCGTAGAACCTGCAACAAGCAGATTATTTTACATAAATTCACGTTAATCTACAAACAAACATAAAGTGATATATGCTTTAAAGTCCAAACCCAGAAATACCTACTGAAGACATATAAACACAATGAGAGAGTGGCTTACACTGCTTGTGGCTCCTTAAATTTGCCCACTTGCTGGATGTGGTACATCAGATCACCACCATTAACATACTCCATCACGAAATACAGACGATCCTATGACAAAAACATATAAAAAACAATATAGAAAACTGTTTAGATAAACTTTAATGCTGGTCTTTTCTGAAAGGCAATGTCTGAATGTATAAAATCCTGTTGCAATATTGTTCAATGGTAATATTAATACAGTAATATACTTCAGTTGTTTAAGAACAGATTTTAAAACACTAGGCATCACACACTTGCATCCCACACAACTTTGTAAACAGCTACAGAAAAAATGGCCATCATTGGAACATAACACACACACACACGCACGCACACATAACCCTTAATGTCTTAATAAACCTTAATAAACCCTTAAATTTTTTTTAAATTTATGTATAGGTAAACATTTATATATATATATATATAGTATATTTATAGTCAAAATCAGTCAGTAGGCTAGTTGTGTATAGGTTTTACTGTTTTACTTCATTGTTGTATGCCTGTATTTATGTAGCACCGTGGTCCTGTGAGGCACGACATTTCGTTCCACTGTATGTCCCCACATATAGCAGAATGACAATAAAGCTCAACTTGAACTTGAACTTGAACACACACACACACACACACACACACACACACACACACACAAAAAACCATCATATACTACATAATCTGCAGACTGGATGACATTCAGCAACTACTGTCAACTTTCCCAGACAGCAAATCGGGGAAAAATTTAATCTAATCTAATGTCTAGAATAGGGCTGGGCGATATAGCTAAAAAAATTATCAACGATATAATGTTTCATATCGTTCGGTATCGATAATTATTGACATTTTTTATAACCTTTTTTAAAACAAAAAGCAATAGAATTTTTTTTTAATTTAACCACTGTATTTATAATTAACACAATTTATTGAGACAAACAACAAAAATTATTTATTTTAACAATCAAACACAATAAAAATTTAACAAATATCTAATTTCTAATGTTTTACATGCAGATTAAATAGGTCTTTATTATAAACAGCATCATGTATTTATGCATTGCTTAATCCAAAGAGCCGAAGCGCCATTCAATGCATTCTGTGTGAATGGCTTGGTTTCAGCTTTAACCCATTCAAGATCTTCTCCGCACTGAGCTTCTATATTTCTCTAATATTTTGAATGAATAATGCAGCAGCGGCGCGTCTCGTGGGCTAGACTAACAAAACATTAAAATGCAACAACGTCACTTACATCATCACCGCATTGCGCACCACTGATGACGCTCACTGATGCACACCTAACATTCAAATGCAAATGTTTATTTTAAATTCGACTAATATTCATTCTTTATTCACAATCTCCTCATCACAGGCAGGCACAGCACTCATTTCAGCATGTGTTCGTGTTTGTGTGTGCTGTCTGCGTCACTCATAGCCCCTGCCTATACCGTGCGCTATATCGAACAATTTTTCTATCGATATCGAAGAAGGTGTACCGTCGATAAATATCGATACCGTTTTATCGCCCAGGCCTAGTCTAGAATTGTATCTTTCTTGACTCATTCAGTGAGGTATCATTATTGTTAACTTTCATTTGGTGAATTAACTTTTTAATGGATTATTATAAGCTTTAACATACATTTTTGTTGGTCTGTTAATGTTATTAATGACTTGTACTACTTTATTATGGTTGGATGTGGATGCAACACATCTCTAGAGTAGATCTGCTTATGGCTGGGTCTCTTTCATTTTTCTTTCTGTCATAAAAACAGTGGTACTGTCACCTCACCATCAGAGGTCACTATTGCCTAAGCAGTTCCCTTTCAAGGGAACTTCGAACTGCATCCTCTAGGGGTCGCTATGGGGAATGCCTCGTCGTGACCCGTGTCTGAATAGAGGATGTGTGCAGCCGTGTCGTCGTTATTTGACACCTGATGACACACACGAGCTATGCGTTGTTTGTTTGGGCGAAGAGCACGCAAGCAATGTCCTCGAGGGTGCAATCTGCATTCACTGCGAGCGTTTTCCAATGAAAAAGCTCCGCTCTCGTTTGTCTCTCTTTTCGAGGAAAGAGGGGCAGCCTCCTTGCCATCTAAGCCCCTTCAGGATACATCTCGCTTGAATGGCAGGGCATACGCAGCAGCAGGTCAGGCTGTCGCTTCGTTGCACACGATGGCAGTGCTCCAGACATATCAGGCTGACCTGCTGAAAGACCTGGATAAAGGCGAGGGCCTTTCTCCCGATGAGGTAGCTGAGTTGCACCGCACCACAGATCTCGCTCTCCGTGCTACTAAGCAGGCCGCCTCTGCTATGGGAAGGTCTATGGCAGCTATGGTGGTAACGGAGAGACATCTGTGGGTGAACCTGGCAGATATCGGGAAGAAAGAGAGGGGCTTTCTTCTTGATGCTCCGGTTCTTGATCATCAGGCCCCCGGCACGGCACTGCAAAAAATGTCCTGGATGTCCAGGCTGGACTTATGCTTAAAGGCTGCCCTGTCTGGTACACCGTATCTAGGTCGCCCTGAGGCGCTTCCTGGTCACCAGGATATCCCCTCTTGCTGAGGCATCGAGCGGGAAGTATAGGTGGCATTTGTGAGAACCTTCTTGTGTAATGCTGTCTCAGGCAGTGCTCCCCTCAGCTTTGTGCACTTCCTGAAATCCACATGTTGGTAAGTGTGCACACTGAACACTTTGTGCACTTTCTAAAATCCACATAGTGGTAAGTGTGCACGCTAGACTTTGCGCTCTTTCTGAAATCCTGTATGGTAAGGGTTAAGCGTTATTAGCCTTGTTCCCTTTCTCTGAGTTGGTTTAGACCCCGGTGGTAGTGTTTAGCAGTGCTCCCCTTTATCATAGGGTTGCCTATTAGCACGCTACTCCTTTTCTGAATTCGGAGTTCTCCTCTCACGTGAGAATTCAGTTCTCTGTTTTCCCAGAGCACCTGGAACCAGCAACATCAGGTAAACAGGCCCTTCCTCCGCCTCTCTGATGCGCTGAGTTTTTGGCTAGCTTGCAGTACGCTTACCCTTCTGATTTCTAACGATCGTGCAGCAGGTCGAGCCCCCTCTCGTTGAGAGCTGTCAAGACTTAGTATGATTCTAGGCTCTTGGTTGTATTCCCCTAAAGGAATCTATTCCTGATTCCAAGCCGTGAGCTCTACCCGGGCCCAGGAGTTCTGGCCCTAACAGGTAAGTTTTTTGGGGTATGTAGCCTAGGCCTTTGTCCAAAAAGGATAATGTCACTGACAGCCGTCTTAACGTCCCAGGGGCAACTCCCATGGCTATGGTAGAGCTGGTACACGGGTCACAACGAGGCATTCCCCATAGCGACCCCTAGAGGACGCAGTGTCTCGTTCCCTACTCAGGGAACCATGGTTACATACGTAACCTGAGACATTTTTGTTTGACTTCTTTGGACTCTCACTTGAACATGATATTGGTGTCTTTATTAAAATCTTCTGTAAATGCTCTGTGCATACAATCTTTTCAGATAGAATTTGAAATAAATGTGACTATTAAAATGTAATAAAACAACCTTTATTTGTAAAAAAAAGAAAAAAAAAAAAAGAAAAGTCATACTATATTCCATATAGGTCCATATACTGTAGGTACGTATCAAGCAAGAAATATATACTAAACTTCATAAATATTTTAACTTTTTAGTTTTTCACAAGTTTTTTCTTCTTCAGTTTTTTAAAACTGATGTTGTTGATTTATGGAAAACATTTTAAATATGAGGAAAAAAATAGACTTCTAAAAACTGCAACTGTAAAAACATTTCAAATCTATGTAATTGCCCTATTTTTATTTAGCTGTATGCTGCTTTACAGTATAATTTATTTTGCTCCCTTTATGTCTTTACATATTTATAATAATGCAAATACATTTGGTTGGGGAAAACACCCCCACAAAAAAATGCTGCACAGCCAGAAACAGAGTTTCAATATGGTATTTTTTTTTTTATATAATTCTAAACTATATTTTAAACTTGACAAACAAAATTTATATATTTACAGTGGCCCTACTTTTTGCAAAAAAAGTAAGTCTATTTCAGTTGCCAAAGAACATAAACAAAAAACAGTGAAGGGTTTTTGTGAGTATTCAATCCTTCTAAGAGACTCTGATTTGCTGAAAGGCGGATGTTTGGTTTGTGAGTGCCATTAGTGGGACTACCATTTAGCCCACAGTCATAACGACTGGTTAACAGAGGCTTCTGTTTGTTCTCAGTCGCCAGTTATGTGTGGCTGGCTACATTTTTTATTTTCTGCCTTTACTTTACTAAATTATTACATTTGTATTTAAGAGGTTCATCTCCCCAGACATGCATTTTTCTTTTCTAATAATGGTTGACACACCCTTGTAAATTGTATAATATGTGCCTGCCAGTCCAACTGTGTCTAGTTATAGAATATATTTGACTGATAAAGATAAAAATCTTGCACAGACAGTAGATCATCATGGGTTTGATTACCAGAGAATGTAAAGTAAATTATTTGAGTAAAAATGACTACCAAATGCATAAATGTTAATTTAAGGAGAGAGTTCCTCACCACAGTCTGAAAGCAGGAGTGGAGCTGGGTGAGGAATGGAGGTTTGTCCTGCTTTGCCAGAACCCGCTTCTCCACCATGGTGCATTCAACATCATCATCCTGGATGACCACATCCTTCTTCAGGATCTTTATAGCATATAGTTCATCAGAAGACTTCATCTCAGCCAGCATCACCTGAGTATGGAGAATAGCAAAAGCTCAAACTGCCAGTGAGGGCCATTAGCAAACCTAAAATATAATTCTAAATTTCACTGAGAAAGAAAAAGCATTATTTCCTCTTACATATTTCCTCTTACATAAGCTAACGTAATTACATCTTTATTTTTAATTTTATTTTTTTATTCTACTAGGTTGGCCCCATTTTTAAGAAAAACCAAGCCAAGAAAGGAAGCACCCAAAATCACAGTATAAAATTTCTACTGTATATATTTTTCAGGGGTCATATGATGCGATTTCAAGTTTTCCTTTCTCTTTGGAGTGTCACAAGCTGTTTGTGAATAGATAAGATCCCTAAAGTTGCAAAGACTAAAGTCTCAAACCCAAAGAGTTATTCTTTATAAAAGTTAAGACTGGTCCACG